TAATATCATGGACCTTTATGGATTTATGAAAAATGTCTAATTTTTGATTGCTAAATTCGAAATAAGCGGCAACTAAGTTCCAGATGTGGAACAGTATCCATCTAAAAATGACATTGTTACTAATGGGCATGTAAAGAGATTTTTTATAATATGTTAACTGCACATTATGAGCACTTAGAAAACGAAGAAAGCTCACCTTCACTCTGATAATGGAGGTGACCCAGTCCTGCTGAGAATCATTCCCTTTACAGCAGAAATACCTTTTTCAGGGAGGACGCAAAGGCATATATTCAGAACACTGAAGCACTCAAAGTGTCCTATTTGAAATTCAGTCATGCAGTTCTGTAGCTCAAGTACTACGCTGTGCAAAACCTTAACAAGTTTCAGGCTGGAATATAAAAAAAAAGAATCTATTATTCAGTTACAGATCAAAGTTTTCCTGAAAACCGTGCTGAAGGGTGTGATTGACTGCAATTAGGAACAGAGTTAATTGCACTTACCACTGCTGCTTTTCAGTATAAACAGTAAATCCCCAACTGTTGAAAATTAGTCAGAAAAACAACAACAAAAAGTATTCCATTAGTTTCACAGCATTTCATTCAGGTTCTCCACATCAACGTACAGCAATATTCAGCTTTTCCTGATGGCTGCACACACAGTCTGACCCTTGAGAACCTCTAAAGTGCTAAATTCAGCTTAACTTTCATAGCTAGCTGACGAGCATAATAGAAAAGATGACCTATTTTGTTTGTGTAAGATAATTTTTTATCAACTTTACATGTCCTGCTATACTTTACACTCTTAGAGATGTAACTTTTTTGCTAACCTAGTTCTCGTTAATTTATTCAATTCATTCATTCATTCATTCATTCATTCAATTGAATTTATTCAATTCAATTAATTTAGTCAATAAACCTCGCACATAGCACTTTAATCACTGTGGCTGACAAACAGCTGTTATTTTCACACAACTGGTCACGTAATGAAAAATAAAATTCAAGTATTTCAACCTAATGGATGAAATGCTTGGCCAGAGACAAATTGTCACATCGATGAGCACAGTTCTGAACAGTATAGGTAGAGCAGCGTGAGAGGAAAAAATTAAATTTTAGTCACATAGCATTGGTTGATGGAAACACGCCATTTTCGCAATAGTTTTTTATCGACATTTAGAAAATATCACAAAAGATTTGCGCAAATCTGTAACGGAAACCAGGCTAGTGTCAGTGAAGAGCTTGACTGAGATGAAATATGATAATTCAAGGAAAATGTTACATGTGATAAATTCATATCACATTTTGTTTTGTTTTCCAATTAAACTGTAAAGTCATTTTGCCATAAGTGTGAAAATATAACCAAATTGTGTTTACATTAGTTTGCAAAAAAAAATCAATCTATGAAATTAGCCTTAGAAGAGAGCCAGTGACATGACATGCGAAAAAAATAATAAGACACTGTGACCACAAATTAAGAATTTGTTGTCATGACTTGTTAATTTGTGGCCAAGTATGAATTTATTTTATTTAAATCATGGCCACATTTGATCAAATCATTCCCTTGTTTTAGAAAAAACATGTCTACGTTGTATTAATTATTTTGTTTTCTTGTTTTAATTTAGTTAAATCGTGGCCACAAATTCATTCCCACAACTTACTAATTTGTGGCCACATATTATTCATTTGTTTTAGTTAAATTGTGCATGATGTATTCATTTGTTCCCTTGTTTTAATTTAGCTAAATTATAGCCACACATTTGTTCGTGGAACAAATTCTTAATTAATGACCACATTATCTTGGGCCTTTTCCCTACATGTCATGTGCAGGCTCCAAAAATGTGTAAAATGTCATTTCCACCACAGAATGTTATCAAACAAAATACACCATTTGAAATGTGGTAGAAATGTTCATGACTGTTCCCTTAATGCTTATACTGTATGTCCACTGTTGGGATTTGTTAGTAGACAAAGTAAATATGAGAGTGTGGAAATGTAATTTGAGAGAGTTCATTTCAAAAGTTCCTATAGTTGAAGAAACACCCTCAAATGAACAAAAGCAAAATGCATGTCAATACCTCAAATTAACATTAAAATAAAATAATGTTAAAAACAGATTGAAAGCCATTTAAGGGTAAATGCTATTGCAAGAATCATGCTGTGGATACATTCACAAGGAAAATTGTGAATAAATGATAATTAGCAACAACAAAAAAAAACGTCAGCGCACTCATAAATTACACAACAGCCATAAATTACAAAAACTCAACATTATTGAAATGAAACAAATCCAGTTAACAATTTCCACAGCAGGAGAGCGAAAAACATACAGTAATACAGTGTATTTGCTAAATTAATGAATTTTGTAATCGTGAGATCTAAATATGCTTTCAGATTGACTGTGATAGTCATCTTTCTGAGGGGACATTTGGCACTAAACCAAGCAGCTCTGCATGTTTGGCACAAGAGATAAAGACTGAACACGGAGCTCATTTGAACATGAACCTAGAGTTAATGTCAGAACACTTATGAATCTATCTTTATTACACATTTTGATATTTTTCTAAATATGAAAGATAAATAATTGCTTTAAATGGTTTTTATGGGTAGAGCACTAGATAAAGACCATTACCTGCTTGTTGGCTTCAACTTCCTTCGCAGCCCTAAGTAACATTTAACAGACTTTAATGGAGCCTCTCTTTCTGGTTTGGTACTCTGTGGAAACAATAGCACATGTTTCAAAATCAACACAGGGCTTTTATTAAAAAATAATTCTGTATCTACTCATATTTTACGGTACATACTACCTAGCTCATGCTTAATGCTGCTTTGTTATATGTAATAATGCAATATATCTCTTAAAATCCTTTCCAAACAATCAGCACCACCAAAAAATGCTGACTTATTTCCCCCAGCTCATCCACTTGAATCAAAAGGGGAAAAAACAGCTGTTGGGAGCCCAAGGGCATCGTGTAAACTAGCATGTGCCGACAACACTGTGTTGTTGCCTGGAAGAGATGTACTTCGTACGTAATGCACTGCAAAACACGTGCGGCGCAGGCAAACACATCAACAATGGCAAAATGAGATCTAACCGAGAATCCTAACTTACAAAAAAAACAAGAAACAGAAAACAAAGGCATCGGAATATCAATTAAATTTCTGCTTCACAGCCAATTCCCACCTTCTTCACTTGATAATTAGCTGAATATTCTGCAGCAGCCAGAAATTACGCTAATTAAGGAAAGAACAGCCTTCATTCAGAGTGTCTTTGCCTTTCTGCCTTCCCTCCATCTCTCTCCCAGTCTAACACACACACACATTGCTCAAATTTCAGTTATTAACACATCCTGCACTCTTTAGGAGACTGTGTCTTAGCTCACAGAGCGTGTGCCCCTGAGGAAGAGCAGATCAGCGTGTGCACAGAGTGAATAAAGTATGAGGAGATATTACAGAGAGAGAACCTAACAGACTGCAGTCGTTTAAATCACTGTACTCATTTGAGGGGGTATGAGAAGTCCCACATTACTTTAATTCAAAATGAAAATAGCCATTATGGGTTTATTTGTTTCTTTTTTTTTTCTTCCATGCTTATTACAAGCAGGCCCCTGCGATTGGCACAAAGCAGGTAATTTCACATCCGCTGTGTTTTTTAATTACCATTTCATCTGCAAATGCATGCTAAGAAAACACACAGAGCTAATATGAAATGCCATGCTGGAAAATCAAAATTGGTAAACTGGCGACTGCTGCAGGGCCGCTGGCAAACAGAGATATTGAGCAAAGGTCGATCCCGATGAACAGCAGGGATGGAGATATTTACATATTACCATGGGCAGAGATACTTAAAGGCCTTGCAAGCCATTTTGATTTGTTAAAAAAGGAGGAGACTTGGAATTAAGAGTGAAAATGAAGGAGACGTACTTTTATATCTTTGTATAACAGCAGTTTTTTGTCTTGTAGTACCAGGTAGCGGTCCTGAAACTTATTCCCCAACAGCAGTTTGGAAGAACCGTCTTTAAATTTGAGTTGCTCTCCTTTAATGAAATCTTTCAGTTTATCTGTCACAAACACAGAACACCACAAAGAAAACATATTGAGTCATACCATGAACTATTTATGAGATAGAACATACAAGCCATAGATATACTGTAGCACTGCACCAGTGCGGCCCTCGCTACTTCAAACTGTAGCAAGGTGTCATACATTTTTTAAATGTCTTAAGTTGCATTGAAAAGCAACTGAAATCTCATCTGCAACACTTTTCCAGTTTAACACATTTGAGAGTCTAGCACATACAGATCCTGCCACATGAATAAACATTTGCATCACAGTGCTGCTTAATATATATTAATATCTTTAGTGAGGCATGCAGAGAAGCTATTACTCGACGCAAGTACAAAATTATGATTTCTGGCTGCCGTTACTGATGGTTTCAACAGGAAACCAAAAGGAGTGTAAATGTACTTTCTAAAAAAAACAAACCTGCTATGCTTTTCAGCAACTACTCCATTTATCATCAAGAGTGAAAATTGATCTGGAAATTGGTACAGAGACTCTAAAAAGTTATGAAATTAGGCCAGAATCAAAAAACTTTGTGACTGATAGTAACTAGGGCTAGGCGATGTATCAGGCGATATATTATACATTTGCAATGAGTTTGTTGGCCATAAAGTTAATTCAGTTAATGGATTTAAAACTCAAATTTAATGATTTATTACCGTCATCACCAGAAAATATACACAGGAGTCTCCATGTGGGATGTTTCATATGATACAATAAACATGAGAGAATTGAAACAGATGTGTACAGTTTTAATAGCATCTTTTATTTAAACCTCAATAGCGAAAATGGCGGTATAGTAAAGTCTGAATCATTTCTGGTAATCAGTTCAAACGGTTTGTTTTCAACTCTAATTCAATGTTCTATTTTGGTACTCACTTGAAAATGTTGGCATTGGCATTTTAAAGTTTTAGTAAAAATATGTAAACATGTTAAGTAAATCAAAATTATTCAATAAAAAGTATCATTCTTCCTTGTGTTCATTTAGTATACTGAATAATAACAAGGCTGAAAAATATGAGATCTATATTTAAAAAAAATTAAGCACAGCTCTAAGAATAACCAACAAGCTAAACTTTGAATGTGGCTCCAATTAAACACTGACTGTAAATGTAATAAAACAATAAGGTTGTTTAATCTGTGAATCATAGTTTAAAGTGATCTGCTGGGGTGCATTATTGTTGGTACCTGAGTTGGAATCTGTCATTTTAGAACCAGAATATTTCTTAATGAGCAGGAAGGCCGAGCTGGGATCCTCCAGAGAGCTCCACTCCAATACCTGCTCCAGAATCTTCTCTTTGTAGTGTAAGGGCCGCTCTGAGCACAGAGATAAATTATATGTAGGATAAGTGAAAGCAAATCTCCATCTGACTTGTTTCACAATTGATTGCGACTCCACAGAATAGAAAGCCCAGAAACATACGCTATGCAAATATGATAACACTTCTAGCAATGCAAGCTCTATTTCACACGTCATTGTGCTCCAAAATGTGTCAGAACGCAATTCATGTAAGTACGTTTGATGGACTGCATGTTGCAATGTGGTGAGCGGACGTTTGTGTAAATGTTTGTGTACGAGTGTATAGTATGTTTATGGCCAAACATACAAAAGACTCTTTAGAATCTCAAAAATGAATCAGCAGGGCTGTATATTCTTACATCAGTTCGCTCAAAAATAACATACAGATTACATGAACCCCCCCCCCAACCCTTTGTGCTTAGGGTTTGTCCTCCACACGAGCATCATAATTATGTGGTGCAAATTTGTAATTATCGCCAGTCAATCTGACTATGATTATAAAACACACTCAAGTGCAAAATAGATCCATTATCAAGTTGTAATTTCTAAAAAAAACACAATGCTCGCTATTGGCAAAAATCACTCTTACACCACCTGTCTCCCCCTCCCACCAATGCATCACAATCTGTTAATAGTTTCTCATTACCCTCATGAAATAATAATAGTACCGATCATGTGCATTCACTTAGCTATTGAAGCATTTTAATGTGTGTGTAAGCCTTAGAGGAACATCATTAAATGCTCTAATAATTTGGTATACACTTATAAAAATACATTTTATGTAGAATTCACCCATAAGTTCAATTTAAATCTTGATTTCAATTGTTTTTAGTGTAACTGTAAGATTTCACAGCAGCAGGACCCTTACCCATCTCTCCATTCTCAATGACCTCAAAAGTGGTCCAGAGATCTTGAGCTTTGACCTCCATCCCCTTCATCTCCAGAGTGCTGACAGCAAGCTCGTCCGACCTCATGTTAGGAGACACCTTATAGAGACAGACATCAGTATTATTCTGTTTTCAGTGTTTTAAATGTTCAAGACTTAATTTCCTTGTGCATAAGGATTTATCTACTTTTGCTGGAGGAGAAATGAGAGGAAAATAGGAATAGAAGATATCAAAGAAGTGTCAAGAGAAGAAAAAAAAAACACTCTGAAGCAACCTCTATTAACTGAGGTTTACCCTGACAACTGATAAAACACAATTACTCTCACAATTAAATCAAACATGCCTTTGATTAACTGCAGTTTGATTTAGTCTGTGGCAGAATACCCTCTAGGTTCACACACACACACCACAGAGAGTGAGTGAGAGCGAGGGAAACAAACCTTGATTAAACAGCACTTCCCTGACAACTGATAAAACACAATTACTCTCACAATTAAATCAAACATGCCTTTGATTAACTGCAGTTTGATTTAGTCTGTGGCAGAATACCCTCTAGGTTCACACACACACACACCACAGAGAGTGAGTGAGAGCGAGGGAAACAAACCTTGATTAAACAGCACTTCTCTGGCTGCTTTTTTTCTAAGTAGACTTCAAATATCAGGTCACCAGCAGGAGAGAACTGCAAACACAGGTACGCACAGAGAGACAAAACACACACACACACAACTTTAAATACAAACTTAATTCATATAAATACATAGTCAGAAAGAAAGAAAAAAAAAGAGAAAGAAAGAAAGATTGAACACAACTTTTCTAAGAAACCAAGCACCCAACAGTACAGCAGTCTTTGTGGATATAATACAAAAGCAATCAGCAGCCCATTCAGTTCAGAGCAGCGTCTGTGTGTGTCTGACTAAATGACACACAGCTGGAGTCCCACACATCATTTAGCGGCATTACACAACAAAAGCTGCCAAACATCTTAACTCGTGTAAACCACAGATTAAAGCTCCTCTTCTAAACAAATGAAACTGCTTTGGCAAAATATATTTAAATGTAGCGTAAATGACACATATGCTACTGTAACTTTCCATAAGAACGTTGTATAAACACTCTTATTCAGATATTCTCTGTCTTATACAATGAAACATGGATATTTTTGCAGCCAGTGAATAGTACTAGTCAAAAGTCTGGACACAACTATCCAAATGCATGTTTCTTACAGACTATCTGATTGGTTATCACCTACTTGGATCTATTTGGGGGCCTCAGCAAACAGGTTGACTTAAAATGATTTAATTGTATTAAAAAATAATTGACTTGGACAGTCGGTGGCCATTGAGTCAAAAAGGTTGAGAACCACTAATCTAAAGGCTTGTGCTTGAAATTAGTTCCCTTTCAAGGGAACTTCGAACTGCGTCCTCTAGGGGTTGCTAGGGGGAACACCTTCAGTGTGACTGGTGTCTGAAGCATATACCTAAAAACAACAATAACATTGGCCAGCGACAGCCTATGACATCACTACCAGTGCGACTATAGTATAAATAGGCGCTGGGAGAACACGTCATCCTCTTCTTCGTCTTCACTGACCGTTTGTTTATGTTAGCGTTAAGCTAAACACGACTAGGAGTGCATGTTTCTCGCCAGAGGCTTTGCTCTGATACCTGCAGTTTCACACGGCTCGCGTGCTGTGTGTGTGTGGTGAAGAGCAAGCGCGCTCAACTCTCGAGGGAGTTGGATGCGCTCTGCATTCATTGCTTATTTCTTGTGAGGGATAAGCATGAATTGAACATGCTCGTTTCACAGGAGGCGGCTTGTGCTCATTGTGATGCATTCGCAGGGCTACTGAAGGGGATGTGAGTATTTCACCATTTACCCGAGTTTGTAGATAGCGTTTGCATGAGTACGTTTGCCTCTCGCGGGAATAGCGATGCATTCGCGGCAGCAGTTTTCGTTTGCGCTTGATTTCTGAGGTAATCTAGTGGTTGGGCGGAGCATGTTTAGCTCCTGTGGCGCGTTGCGTTGCGGTGAAAACATGGAAAGGACCTGATGGGAAATTTCTCCCTATCAGTAATTTTCTTTTGTTTATATAGGAAATGTATAGTGTGGATCTGTCTGCAGTTATTGGACAGATGGTTTATAACATGTCCTTATCAGATAACCACATTATACTGTACTACGTCTTGAAAAAAAAAATAAACATTCTCGTCCCTCATCCACAGATTCTAGCATACTAGTTATGCCAACAACGAGGGGATACGTGAGAATGGTTATGAGAAGATGCCACCTGTTGAAGAGACGCTGACCTGCTATCTGTCAGGCTGCAGTCACGTTGCACACCATGGTGGTGCTTCAGGCTTTTCAGGCTGATCTGCTGAAAGACCTGGATAAAGGCAGGGTCTATCCCCTGATGAGGTGGTTGCGTCGCACCACGGATCTTGCTCTCCGTGCCGCTAAGCAGGCCACCATTGCCATTGGCAGAATGGCAGCCATGGTGGTTATGGAGAGACATCTCTGGGTGAGTCTGATGGTTATCAGGTCGAAAGAGAAGGACTTTTTTCTTGATGCGCCGGTTTCCCCTTCTGAGCTTTTTGGCACTTCTGTCGAGACGGTGGTCGTGAGGTTATTAGGAGGCCAAGACGTGCTCGGCTGCCTTTAAATCCTTCATTCCACGAGGGTCTAGGCTTCGGACTTCGCCTCCAGCCTATATCATGAGCCTGAGTCATGCATGGGAGCCATGGTTGGTGAGTCCATTTTTATCTACTCTACTGCTAGTTCTTGTGTATTTGATGCTAGCCTTTCTCTGCAGCGCTACTCAGACCTGTTCTGTTTTTCTGACTTTAGGTTTGACCCACCTGCTAAGTCAGGACCTCCTGCTGTTGACCGATTACAGTGATGGTTTCACTCATCGGTTCTGGTTCCAGGCTGGTGATAGCCATCATCTTCGGCTTGGACACGCAGCCTGGGCTTCTGAGGAAGTCTCCCAGCATCAGGTCCCCAGTATAATGCGGCAACCTCAGGACCTCTAGTACATGCTTCTGAGTACATGCTTTGCGACATGCTCCCTATCCTCTGGCCACATCAGGTAGTTGGGCCGCTTGCTGCTTCCCTGATAAGCTGCCTCTATTCGGGTCAAGTCAGGCAGTGCTCCCCTCACCTCAGAGGGATGTCTTTGAGCCTGCTGCTCCTGATTGAGTGGCTGAGGACTTCTGGGCATCTGTGAGCAGATCTCAATAAAATCTATAATATGGTAAGCACACACGCTAAGCTTCTGTGCACTTTCTAAAATTCACATGGTGGTAAGTGTGCACGCTAAGCACTCTGCGCACTTTCTAAAATCCACATGGTGGTAAGTGTGCACGCTAAGCACTCTGTGCACTTTCTAAAATCCTGTATGGTAAGGGTTACGCGTTGTTAGCCTCGTTCCCTTTCTCTGAGTTGGCTTAGGCCCCGGTACTCGCTTTGGGCTCTACTCAACTAGTGTGTCTCTGTTGATACAATTTTAAAGCATCGCTCCCCTCACTGAAGAGGGTTATTTATGAGCATGGTGCTTTCTTATGAGCGTTCGGGTTCTCTCCCCTTCTGAGGAGTTGAATTCCCCGCTCCGTGGGCTGTTCTCGTGGTGGTGTTTAGCAGTGCTCCCCTCTATCAGAGGGTTGCCTATGAGCACGCTACTCCTTTTCTGCGTTCCCCTCTCACGTGGAGAGTTGAGTTCTCTGTTTTCCCAGAGCACCTGGAACTGGCAACATCAGGCGAACTAGGCCCTTCCTCTGCCTCCCTGATGTGCTGAGTTTTTGGCTAAGCTTGCAGTATGCTTACTCTTCAGGATTTCTAATGAACATGCTGTAGGTCGAGCCCCCTCTTTTGTGTTCTTTCTAAATCCTGTATGGTAGGGGCTACGCGCGGCGGCTTCGTGCCCTTTCTTGAGTCGGTTAGGCCCCGGTTCCACCTTGGGCACCACTCCACCTATGTATACTCAGGATACCTACTTTAACAGGGTGTTGCTACTAGGGGTCTGTTGAGACAATTCCTTCAGCAAGCTCATGCAGAGCAAGCGGTAGCCCCCTGCGTGACAGGCCAAGACCTAGTACGATTCTAGGCACTTGGTCGTATCCCCTTAAAGGAATCTATTCCTGATTCCAATCCTTGAGCTCTACCCCGGGACCAGGAGTTCTGGCCCTAACAGGTACGTTTTTTTTGGGTATGTAGCTTAGGCCTTTGGCAGTAGGGGATAATGTCACTGACAGCCGTCTAACGTCCCAGGGGCAACTCCCTTAAAGCTTTGGTAGAGTTGATACTTAGTGCTCGCCTGTGGTTTGGCATGCACTCCCCTCAGCATGGTGGCGTGGGTATACATTCCCCATAGCGACCCCTAGAGGATGCGGTTCGAAGTTCCCTTGAAAAGGAATGTCCCAGGTTATGTATGTAACCATGGTTTCCTGAGTAGGGAACGAGACACTGCGTCCTCTAGGTTTCCTGCCATGCTTCGGACGCAAGCTTCAGACGAAGCAGCGGATGACGTGTTCTCCCGGCGCCTATTTATACTATAGTCGCACCGGTGGTGACGTCATAGGCTGTCGCCGGCCAATGTTATTATCGTTTTTAGATATATACTTCAGACACCGGTCACACTGAAGGTGTTCCCCATAGCAACCCCTAGAGGACGCAGTGTCTCATTCCCTACTCAGGGAACCATGGTTACATACATAACCGGCGATGTTTTTCTATACATAAATGGGCCAGTGACATGATCGTCATGTCTGTTCAAAGCTAAGAACTGGGGGGGGGGACATTAAAAATGCATTTCAAATGAAAATGACCTACATTCATCTCTTCTGTGGTGACCATGCTTTCAATTCATGAATTAAAAGTGACTTTTGTACTGTATTGGGTTTCAGGGTGTGAATGTGAATGTGTTTAAGCATCCAAAAGCTTCAAGTATTTTTCATGGGTCAGTTCCAACATTGTCCTTGCCCCAACTTGAACACATACACAGAAACTTTTTAAACTTGGACAGTAGCAAACAAAGGAAGATTCATTTGTTTTTCAGCTTATCTTAGCAAATTGTTCCTTATGGTGCCAGCGAGGTATAAAGCAGGAGACAGAAATGTTAGGTAGCACAAAGAGCTTGCTGTTTGCTCTAATTTGCTCAAAGCAATACCAATACAGGCCAAAGTGATTATGTGACCTGTGAAAATGTACACACATATATGCCAACACAAGGAGGTTAAAAGCTAAACGCACACATTTATGGCCTGTAACATCATGCTTTATAAAAATCTTTGTCTCACACCTGCAAACACACACACACACACACACACACGCACGTGTATGTGTGAAGCCAGGGGGCCTATGAATGTACGAGCGGGCCAAGGGGGAATTAGCACAGCGCAGCACTGTAAATCCCATTACAGAGGCACGCGTCCAAGTGCAACACGAACACTGTCCCCTTCATCACACACTTACACTAAAGCTGCGCATTTTATGGTGTTGAATGGAAATGCTTTTCACTGTTCATAGCACCATGGAGTTTGTCATATACTCCGTAATGGGTGAACAGCCACAGCTTGCCAGTTTGTTATAGCCCTCTTCAAATGGCGGGTTCAACACATTTTCATGAGCAATAATTAGAATAGACAAGAAGATCAATGAAGCAGAACCATAACTAATTCAAGGTCTCTCTCTCGTGTGCTAATAAAAAGGGTATAATGGTATAAATTATTAATTAACAGCACACACCTGTGAAATTATAAGAACAACACTGTGAAATGTCTTTTGGCTCTCAAACTGTGAATATTATGCTATGAATATGAGGGGAGTGAATATTGGAGCAGTCTCATGTTTAGCAGGACTTTGGGACTTCAAGTGACAGAGATCAACAAGGTCTGAATCCTAAGAGAGGACACATGTTTAACTCACAGAGAAGAGCTGGATGTAATTGTTGATGAGGTCTTCCACCACGCGGGTCTCCTGAGCCATGTGTCCCTCCGTTTGAAACATACACGAGGAAAAAACACATGCCAGCTTCTCCGTGCTCATCTGGTTGATATATGAGCACCTCTGGATCCTGTGCAGATGTAATACATATGCATAAATATATGAATACTGCTGGAAAAAAGACCTATATAAATCATAGATGAGTAAACACACTGTCCATACAAATAAACATAAACATACAGTATATATATATATATATATATATACACAGTATCTCACAAAAGTGAGTACACCCTAAGTGATAACAGCTGTATGTCGTTTAACCATGCAAAGCCACATGTCCTATTCATCATGTTCATGTTTTTTTTCTGCTTGACAGGACTATACAAATTTGTCTATCTTGTGTTAGAGTAGTTAAAATTTGGTGCTCTGAGTAAAATTATCTCATACTGACCACTGGATGTTCAACATGGCACCTCATGGCAAATAACTCTCTGAGGATTTGAGAATTAGAATTGTCGATGGAGTGGCCAAGTATGTCTCCAGACCTGAACACTATTGAGCACCTGTGGGGCATCCTCAAGCAGAAGGTGGAGAAGCACCATGTGTCTAACATCCAGCAGCTCCGTGATGTCATTATGGAGGAGTGGAAGATGATCCCAGCAACAACCTGTGCAGCTCTGGTGAATTCCATGCCCAGGAGGATTAAGGCAGTGCTAGATAACAATGGTGCTCACACAAAATATTGACACCCTTGACAACATATAATAAAATGGTTGCTGAAATGTGAGGGGTGTACTGTAGGAGATACTGTATGTACTACAGTATCTGTATATATATATACTGTATATATATATATATATACGCACACACACACACACACACTTCTGAATTCACAGAATTCTGTGTGTGTAATATGAAAAAAAACTGTTGCATTCCCCACAAGGTAAAGCTTGTATCACTGTTATGATGCCTAAATTCACTTGTAAAATTTACATAGATTGATTTGTTGATTTAAATGTTTTTAACCAAATGTGTTTACATGTAAACCGCAAAAAAATAACTTAGTCCAGTAACCAGGCGCTGTTTGATAGACTTTTTAGTGTGCGCGTGCTTAAGTGTACGTGCAAAAGGCGCATGTCAGAGCAGCATGAGAATGAAACGTTTAATTGACAAGGCTTTAAAGCACATGCAAATAATCTAATTTTGTGATTGTGAATCAGTGCAGTGTCCCGTGAGTGTAACTCTACCGCTGAGTTAACATTTGATGTGAATGTATGTGGTGCTGTACAGTATCCTATATTGAGATGGAGGCGCCAGCACTGCAACAGAACTTCTCTGATGAATAGACAGTTAAAAAGAACAGTGTTTACTTGAAACATACATCTTTTTTAACATTATAAACATCTGTTAACATTACTGTCACTTTAGATCAATTTAATGTGTCTGAATACACACAAAGTGAGTATTAATTTCTTTCTTTCTTACTTTCAATAAATAAATAAAATCCCAATCTTTTGAATGATAGTTCATGTAACTAAAACTTAATATCAGCACAGTCTTTTATGTTGCATTATGGTGTAAGGCGTCTAGTGAACTGTACCTCCCACTCTCGACCATGAGTAAGACCTGAATCTTCCCATCACCCTCCATATGAGTGGACACAGCTGAGGAAAAAAAATAGGAAAAACTTTGCTGAAGCAGTCCACAACTCTATTACCTTGACATAATGATAAAAGCACTCTTAGACAAACTAAAATGAAAAGCATTAAGAGTGAAAGAAAACAGAGGAACATGAAGTTAAACAAATGATGAGAGCTTTAGTGTTTTGTAAACTTTCCAGCTGGAGTAAGTGGAGCAGAAAGCTGAGTGCTGCTGGTCATTAGTTTCTACTGCAGTACATGAGAAAACTGCCTCATTGAACCCATCAGACGCATGCACAGTTGTACTGCACATACACATTCAGAGTCATTGATTCATAATCGTCCTCACATCTGTCATTTTTCCACTCCCTTTTGTCTCTCTCTTTCCCTCAAGAGCCAGACCAATATTCCAAATAATATTCAATGACCGAAACTCTCGATCAATAATGTATTATGTTTAATTAATTAATCAAATTCATAGAATAAATTCTGAGATTAATCTATTTCAGAGTAATAAAAACAAAACCAAAACAAAGCAAGTCAAGTGAGAACAAAATTGCTCAATTATATTTCAAACTCCATACTCAACTAAAATCAACCAAAACATAGGAACTTAAGTACTAAAAACAAGCACTTTAATTATTGCACTTTAGCTATTTTCAAGGTTGGCAAATTTTGTTTACCAATGTTACTGAAAATTATATAAAAAAAAAGAAAAAAAAAGAAAGGAGCACTATCAGGCACACAAGGTTTATTAAAAGCCATTACTGAAAAGAGGCAAACATTCACTATCACAGTTTAATAAAAACAAACACCACTTTACAAAAATTAACACCCTTACCTTTCACTAAGGAATTAAAAAACAGAATGAAACCAAGCAGCCTTGTATATTGCTGGGGCTAGCACTGAGATTCCAATAACACCTCTCTTGACTCTCTTTTTCTTGTTTACACATACAAACAACTTGAGTCAAATATTTGTTCTTTACCATTACGTCTCTCAAATATGTCTTTCAAATTTAAGGTTGTGTTTACATTTGTAGTTCGGTTCTTTTGGTTTGGACCAAAATCCTATATTGAGATGGAGGCGCCAGCACTGCAACAGAACTTCTCTGATGAATAGACAGTTAAAAAGAACAGTGTTTACTTGAAACATACATCTTTTTTAACATTATAAACATCTGTTAACATTACTGTCACTTTAGATCAATTTAATGTGTCTGAATACACACAAAGTGAGTATTAATTTCTTTCTTTCTTACTTTCAATAAATAAATAAAATCCCAATCTTTTGAATGATAGTTCATGTAACTAAAACTTAATATCAGCACAGTCTTTTATGTTGCATTATGGTGTAAGGCGTCTAGTGAACTGTACCTCCCACTCTCGACCATGAGTAAGACCTGAATCTTCCCATCACCCTCCATATGAGTGGACACAGCTGAGGAAAAAAAATAGGAAAAACTTTGCTGAAGCAGTCCACAACTCTATTACCTTGACATAATGATAAAAGCACTCTTAGACAAACTGAAATGAAAATAATTAAGAGTGAAGTGAAACAAATGATGAGAGCGTTAGTGTTTTGTAAACTTTCCAGCTGGAGTAAGTGGAGCAGAAAGCTGAGTGCTGCTGGTCATTAGTTTCTACTGCAGTACATGAGAAAACTGCCTCATTGAACCCATCAGACGCATGCACAGTTGTACTGCACATACACATTCAGAGTCATTGATTCATAATCGTCCTCACATCTGTCATTTTTCCACTCCCTTTTGTCTCTCTCTTTCCCTCAAGAGCCAGACCAATATTCCAAATAATATTCAATGACCGAAACTCTCGATCAATAATGTATTATGTTTAATTAATTAATCAAATTCATAGAATAAATTCTGAGATTAATCTATTTCAGAGTAATAAAAACAAAACCAAAACAAAGCAAGTCAAGTGAGAACAAAATTGCTCAATTATATTTCAAACTCCATACTCAACTAAAATCAACCAAAACATAGGAACTTAAGTACTAAAAACAAGCACTTTAATTATTACACTTTAGCTATTTTCAAGGTTGGCAAATTTTGTTTACCAATGTTACTGAAAATTATATAAAAAAAAAGAAAAAAAAAGAAAGGAGCACTATCAGGCACACAAGGTTTATTAAAAGCCATTACTGAAAAGAGGCAAACATTCACTATCACAGTTTAATAAAAACAAACACCACTTTACAAAAATTAACACCCTTACCTTTCACTAAGGAATTAAAAAACAGAATGAAACCAAGCAGCCTTGTATATTGCTGGGGCTAGCACTGAGATTCCAATAACACCTCTCTTGACTCTCTTTTTCTTGTTTACACATACAAACAACTTGAGTCAAATATTTGTTCTTTACCATTACGTCTCTCAAATATGTCTTTCAAATTTAAGGTTGTGTTTACATTTGTAGTTCGGTTCTTTTGGTTTGGACCAAAAGACAAAAAAAACCCGATACATTTAGTCCTGATTCTCTTAGTGTTAGTTCAAGTTCACGCTATCATTTTAACACAGAATCTAAAGATGCAAAACAAAAGGCTTAAGGATACGGCCATAACCTGATGCCAAGAGTAAACTTGCCCTAAATTAGATTTTAATTTTTTTAATCAGACTGTATGTACTTGCGTGACAGATTTCAGGACCATGGACAGCAAAGTATTTCACAAATACTATAACATTACCATACCGTCATCCAGGACGTTTAAAGGAACTATTTTGAGGTGGTTTGAAGCATTTGCTTGCAAAAAAAAACGATGAGAATTTCTTTCAAAAGCCTCTTTGTAGACAAAATATAATGTATGACTTTCAGATGTCATTTCTACACAAAGCTTTTCCATTGCTAAATGGATGAATTTGACATTGCTCTCCTGTTTACTGCAGGAGCAAGTAAAAGAGGGTGAGCTAGGGAACTGCTGGTCTGCCTATGTCTGTGTCCTAATCTAATTTCACAGAGTTGCAGCCCTTTGAGGCCCATATGTTCTGTCGCTATAGAGATCTTAAACCACTGGAGACGCTTCGTTAGCGCGCCACGCTACATTTCAAGGCTCCGCGAACTGTTGAGGCATCACCCTCTTAATCCTGCCCAAACAATACTAAAATAGCACTTTTCCTCACAGAAGGCTATCAAATTGGTCCAAAAGACTATATAACGCATTTTATTTACCACTTCTGTGATGTTTTTTAATAGTTAGGGTTTTGTTTTTTGGTAATTTTAGAGCATGGCAGCCCCAGTCTCATTTACTTTTATTATATATATTAAAAGGAATAGCCTTGATAATTTTTCAAAAACAAAACAAAAGAAACATTCATATGGGTTTGGAAAAACATAGATGAACTATTCCTTTCATATCTTTCATTCTATTGCTATACATGCATATTTGTTCTCACTAAGCTCCTGTAGGCGTTTGAGTTGAAGAACTCCCTCCTCTTCATCTTCATCTCCAGAACAGAAGTAGAGTTCTGAGGCCACCAGAGCAAACCATCCCATTCGCCAATGATAAAGGTCATGCCCCTCTTTATAGTGCAGTCGGCCAATAAGCTCACTGTCCTGCCTCAGTAGAGCATCTGCCCTTGCAGGGACAAAACACTGAAACGAAAGAGAAAAACATTAGACAGAGGAGCCGTGTGAGAGGCAGAGAGTCAGGGGTTTGTGTAGATCACAAATAAGTTTCTAGTGTTTTCTGCCAAACAGAAACTAGAGCTAACCCTGGAGTTCCATTAAAACAGCATATACAGATAGACGTACAAACTCAAATACCCTTTGAACATTCCCTAGCTGAGCTCTCAGAGTTACGTAAACATTTCAGCTTAGACACTAGCACCTCCACACTTCACTTAAATGGGAATGTGTGTGAGTATGTTTGAGTGAGGAATGAGAGGCAAGTGAGATGGAATTGTTTGAAGGAGTAATAGCATACACCCACTCGCACAAGAAAAACACTAACACACACCGACACAACAGGGACAAAGACACAATAAATGACCTTCAAGAGTCGATGCATAAAGCAGTGTGGCAAACACTGCAATTCATATTTAAACACAGAAGTACACATATGCTAAATCCCTGCAACGCTGATAAATCTTTTAAGACTTATTTTATGTGTTTGAGTGCGTATAACCTTGGCGATGGCATGTGTCCAATCCTGGTGTGCATCTGAGGTCTCTGCTCCAAACACCAGCACTCTCTGAGAGCGCAGGTACAGCTCAAAGGTGAACACTGGCCTGAGGGAGGTGTGGAAACAGTACAATTAACACACACACACACACAAAGTGACTGGAACACACACATGCCCACATGCTCACAGCTGTGAAACAGAAAGGATGGTGATTAATCTCTGTTAGTCTTTTGCTCTTACAATAAACAGCTGAACGCTGGAGATTAATCCAGAGGGAAAGGCCACTCTCTTAATGGCTTTAACAGCTCTGACTTGTGGCCCACATTTTTGGCCAGGGGGATATTTTCGTTACAGTAGCGAGAACAAAAGAATTCGAGAAAAATGGGGATTTCAGGCTAATCAGGTTAGAGGTCAGCCAGCATGTTGGTTTCATCTCATTTTATTGTGTTTGTTAGCGTATGGAAACTCTGAGGTGGGGTCACATCTAAAACACTTTCCATAACCTCTAACCCACAAAAGGTGGTCAAATGAATAAATACATTAACAAGAGGCCATGAGAGAAAGAGACAGGGATGGAGCGGGAAACGTGTACCCTGTTTCGGTGATGATCTCAGTGTTGTTGATGGCCAGGCTCACCACGTCACTAATGTCAACTCGGCCTATGGGTGAAGCGTTCTTCTCATTGTCATAGTAACTAAGAAATCCACCTTCCAACGTACACCAACGGCAGACCATGTCTGAAACACATACAAAAATACAAACATGAGATTAACTAGATTCAATGGCATATTCTTCATCACACTTCATCATGCAGTGGTACTTGATGTTGTTGCTCAAACTGAGGGATTTAAACAAACTTCAGTGCATAAATTCTGCATTCGGAAATTTGGTATGATACTACTTGTTGTATTAATTAATAGATGCAACAGAAATGTAGTTATGTTTGTTTAGTTGGTGATAAAACAGACAAAAATCCTCCCTTAAAGTGTGGTCACGTTTACCGTTGCTCTGTGAAATTTCACAAGCAAAATCCAGTCTTTCAATAGGAATCCACAAGATTTGGAGTTTCACATGAAGGCGGAAAAGTTCTCCATGCAGATTTAGTTGGTCACACAAATTCGCCTTGTTGACCAACAGAAACCTGCCCGGTTTGAAAGTGACTTCTGTGTGAATGCTGCTTCATGCATCACTACAATTTTGAACACAGACCTTTGCCTTTGAAATTTCACCAAAATTCAGTTAAAGCAACTGCTCCTTTAGAGTTGCTTTGGAGGAAGAATGCTAACAATATCAAGAAAACACCCAGAACAGCCTAGCAAGCATAGAGCAACACATTACCAACCACCCAGAACACATAGCAATGTGTTAAACGATATTCAGACAACATTCTATGTATGTGTGTGTGTGTGTGTGTGCGTGCGTGTGTGTGTGTGTGTTCATAGTAGGCTCCCTATTCACTTACTGTACTTTAGGATTTGCTTGCTTTAATACAACTGGGCCTCTAAAAATGTGGCAACAATGTATAAAAGACTAATCAGATCAGACTAATTTTCTTAAGTGGTTACACTGTATCACTGTTAAGAATTCAGCGCAGATTCACAGCCACTTACATGGCCGATTATCCCACACTTATTAGTACTTTTTGCACCACATGAATTCTTTTCTTTATCTACCACTATTTTAAAGACATTTAAAAAGGTTTAAAAGATCCTTAAAGAAATCATCTGTGGTCCATAAAGAGCAACCAGAATCAGACACATTTTTTGCAAAGAAAAACAAAAAAAAACTGTAAATGATCTACTCAAAAAACAAAACTTAAAAATGCCAAGTGGTTTAACCATGCATTATTCAAATGTACTCAATGAATTCAAGTTTATCTAACTTATTATGTTTGTGTTCAAGTAATAAATAATTTATCAGACACTTATATACCTAGTGCCCTATCTGTATAGTTCACTTACTGGCTCAGTCCTTTCAGTCAGCAGTTTTCTGATTATGAGCCACAAGTATTACGCACTACACCACTTTTACATTACACAGCCACCTGCTTGGTGCACGACAGGTTGTGACAAGTAATGTACATCTCAGGACAAAAATATATTTTATAAGTGCTCTACTCTAACATTGAGACTGTTGAGTTACAAAGCACAAGTAAATCTGACGAGACCATTTTTAATAAAATCAAAGCAACAAGTAACAGCATCTTCCCAAAGCACACATTAAAAAAAAGGATAAAAAAACAACAACTTATATTTCATTATAAGAAAATATCAAAACACTGATATTTCATTTTGTGAGTCTGAATGCCTTTAAAGAGGTGTTTAAAGATTCAACAAAAATATTAATGCTACCAAAAACTTGACGCCACATAAAAGTGCAGTTTAAATATATATAAAAGATACATCAAGGCATGTTAAGGCCTGTAATGCGGTATCACATTAACTACTAAAATCCAAGAGATTCTCCCCAGTATGAGAAGGCTTCTGTTCATCATAAATATTTAAATGAGACGTTACATTCTTTTTTTAACTATTACATCAAAGGGGTCATATGATGCTGCTAAAAAGAACATTATTTTGTGTATTTGGTGTAATGAAATGTGTTTATTTCTTTGCGTGACCATTAGGGCGGCGTTATGCAAATCTTCCCAGATAGTGAGGTAGATATGTGGGGGCGTGTTAGAACAAGCCGTTTTAGGTAGGTGTGGCTGACTCTTAACTTTTATAAAGAATATCTCTTTGGATTTGAGACTTTAGTCTTTGCAACTTTGAAAGGAAAAATTGAAATCGCATCATATGACACCTTTAAGTTAGTTCAGCAATGCTAGCTTTGTTCAACACACTCTAAATATTCAGAGCACAAGTCATTTTCATATCATACAACTGTCATTTGACTAGTGAAAATGCTGATGGTCTCTTTTTCAGTAGAAAGGGTTGTGTGATGTTTCCGGAGGGGAGCTATTAGACAATGGGGGCTATTAGTGACACAATGTTTTGTTCCTGACGATGCCTCACCTAATTCATCTACAACACTGGCACTTCATTACTCCAGTTAGCTGGGTTTTGTGGATGAACAAACTGTTCTGTCGGCAATGTCAAGACGAGAGTTAAGAGACACTAATTTATGGGCAAGGAGGGGTTATCCATGTGACACGCAGAGCGATATCCAACTTTTAAAATGATGGTATGAAATAAAATGTTGATCAGTGACAGAGTTGGTATTTGGTGACCGTTTGGCAATATCACAACACACTAATGTGGCGTGTATATATATATATATATATATATATATATATATCCACAGGCAGCTGGCATTTACTATCAACAACTATCCAATGTGGCTGTCTTTCAGTATCGAGTGTGGTGTAATACAACAAATTGCTGGTATTTATTTCCATCACACCTCTTCACCTCATCTGTCTGAACCTCTCCAGCGCAAATGCCACCACAGTAAGTGCATGAAAACCCTCTTGTCACTGTCTTTTCATTTTCTTGTTTACAAAGGGTATGGATATATAATCTATGAACCAGTGCTTCTCACAAAACATAAAGAGGTGTCCTTTTCATTAGTCATTATATTTGAATTTGCACAGCATGTGGGCAAGGGGTCTTTGTCTACTTCAACTTCATCAGTGTCTTTAAGTGAACTGAAACCATTAAAAAAAATTCACATCAGCATCTCAGTATGGGGTCAAGCCTCTTAAAATTCAAAATGATAAAAAGGAGATTTAAAAGGTTTTTCACAAGCAAAGTTGCACATTTAGATACTTCACACACAACTAATATGTGCTTGAAACTTGAAGAGGCTGGAGCATCCCTCAAAGGTGTGTAAATCTCCTTTATTTCTGTTATGCCACGCTTATTTTCTCCAGATTTGTATACACCCAAAGGCCATGGCTGTCTTTACCTGTGATCATTCAAGGTTGTATGGGTAGACAGGCGTGAGAACTGGAGGTGCTGTTGAGAGAATCATTCAGTTAGGTAAAATAACTAACTGTGAAAAGTGGCAAGAAAGAGATAATCAAAGAATTAAAAAGAGGCAAGGTCTTTTACACGGCACAATCCATGTACATCTTGTTTAGTGTTGTCTGTGCACAAGAAACAACTATCAACTCTACATTACCGTTCAAACATTTGTAGTCAGTAGAATTTTTTTTTGTTTTCCAAAAAATGACTTTTATTCAGAACTTTTACATTTTTAAATGCAGCTTTTCCAAAGGAATAAACTGCATTTTAAACAAAATAGAACAATTATTTTAAATGTTAATTATATTTCACAATATTACAGTTTTTACTGTATTTTTGATCAAATAAATGCAGCCTTTAAGTCTGATGAGCAGACTTTTTTCAAAAATATAAAAAAATCTTACCGACCCCAAACGTTTAATGGTAGCATATATAGATATGCATATATCTACTATAATTGTCAAATTCCACATTAATTTGACACTGCAACAAAACAAGTCACTTAACCAGCTATATAAAATTAGGTCTATTTCACAGCGCACACATAAGGAAAACAGCAATGTAACTACAACAGCAGGCTTATGCTGCTCTATACAAAAATAAAGTGATTTCTGTGCTACTGTATTGCAAATATTCGTTAATAACAACTATAAATCACAATCAGGAGTTGTCCATTGAGAATCATTACAAACTTGATTGTCATGAAATGTAATTTACGAGGATATATGTAACATGAGGAGTGGAATCAAATTTACCTCCAGATGGAAATTAATCTACACAGAATGGCACGAAAACCCAAACTGGAGCTATAACCTAATTGAATCAGCTGGATTCTGTCAGATTTACCGAATAGACAGTGCAGTCACTATGTGTGCATGGAGCCCAACAAATGTCTTCAAACAACAGGAGAGTAGTTTACTGAAGTAGTTTATATTGCTTTAAATATAGCTATATAACAAAGATTGTAAAAAAAAAAATAAAAGGTTTTCTGCCAAGATCAATTTAGTACGAGCAGAAAAAGGCTAAGCACCAAACACGCACCTTTGCTCCCGGTACACAGAACTGCTTCTAGGGGCAAGCATTGTGAATACTGTAACCTATTAACATGGATGCAAAAAATAAATATGTGCTCCTTTCATGTGCATTGTGAAACAGACCTTAGTGTAAAACTGTTGAGAGACTGCTGAATGTTGTGAGCATTTATTTATTATGTGTGAGTAAAGTGACTCATATTCATGTGAGTTTGGTGTCTGGAGCTCAGCATAGCATGGTTCAGAGCTTAGTCATCAATGGACGTGCCTCAAAATAATCTTGTTTTATCATTTACACAGGCGGAAACCTTATGGGAGACCTCTTTCATTTGTGGATGGACATTGTTTGCAATGAAAGGATTGCAACATTGATCCAGATGAAAGAAATGAATGAGTCTCGATTGAGAAGTTGCCCCGGATCTGAGACACACAGCTACCAGCAGTGACAGGCAATGGTAGATTGTTATAGATGTATTATCCCCTTTAGAGCATGGGGCGTTTCACAAGTACATACACACACACACACAGAGAAATATCGCTGCATGATTTATAAAGGGGCAGATGTGGTTGTTTTCTCCTCTTCCACTAAAAGCACGATTCCTCTGCGGATATCAGCGGAAGCTCAGTAAAGACACACAGAAAAACACAGTCTTTCACAACAAACACACACACACACACTCATCAGGGTTGGGCAAAATTCAGAAACTAAGAATATGCTTTCAATTTATAACTGTAAATTTGAATTGAATTGGCAACACCCCATAGAATGTGTAACTGGAACTGAAATGACAGGAAGAGGAATTTACTGAATTAAAATAAAAATTCAGTCAAACCCAACAACAGATAACTCGAGAGTTCTTTTTAGCTGCCATTCTGGGTAGATAAATAATAATAATAACAACAACAACAACAACAACAACAACAGAGTAAAAGAGTAAAATCTTCCACCATGGTTCATAAAATTATATCATTAAATAGCATTTCAATAGGGATGTAACGATTCACTCAAGTCACGATTCGATTCGATTCACGGTTTTGATTTCACGATTCGATTCACGATATTTTTTTTTATAAAGTGAGATTTAAGACAAATTATAAATTAAATGTGTCCTTTTATTATTGCTTGGACAAACACTATAATAATATACTAATATAGTACTTGTAAATTATTGCTCTTTTGTTGGTTTTGATTGCTTCTAATGTCCTCATTCGTTAGTCGCTTTGGATAATCGTTACATCCCTACATTTCAAACATTGATTATTTATATAAATGTGTAATGTATTATTGAACACAACACTTCCCCATCTAGTTTGAGCAACCAGAGTTCCAATTGGCTGAATTCACAGAGGAACTGAATTGGAATTTAAAATATATTCTCAATTGACCCTTCGCAAAGTCCCACACCCGTTAGTTACTGTTGCTACTTCCGACAAGCCACGGCACTCTCATGCCACACATCATGTTCTCACGCAGTGAAAAAATACATCACGAGGCAAGACAGAGCAGCTTACTTTTGGTATGAAACAAAGTTTCAACTTTGAAATGCTGTCATTTCTTAAGAATAAATACCATTTTGTGGCTCTTTAATTTGCCTTGACAGATCGCTGTAGCGCCTCAGTTCAAGCAGCACGTGAATGATCATCTCTTCCTCTTTACTAGTTATAGCACAAAATAAACATGAAGGAACATCAGAAAGTATCATGTTTCAACCACGGAAAGACATCACTACACACCATTTTTCAAGTTCAAGTCAACCGATGTTAGTTTGTCTGGTTTGTTTGTCAGACAAAACAGCAGATTTGGCATTATGAGTAGTCAGATCGCCTGTCAGTCAAACTCCTGGCAAAGGGTCAATTCAATTCTGAATGGTGCACAACCCTAAACACACAAATGTATGCACATCAACAATCAAAATATTATTCACAATGATAACCATTATTATAGTAATCCATTAATGCTCCAGAATACTGCTGTGAATGACTTGTATGACCCTTGTTTTTTTAGAATATCAAGGCCAAATAAATGGAAAATATGTGCCTTTATCTTTGTGTTCCTAGATTTCAGGAGAATTTAGAGAGATTAAGTAGTGTGACAGAGACAGGGAGAGCAAAAGAAACATGATTGGATGAAAAAAAAAAATCCAGGCTCTGAATGTACATGAGAACAGAACTGCTACGAACAGAGGAGAGAGATGAACACCACAAACTGTGAAACTTGAATGTTTGAAACACTGAAGTACTGAAACATTGAAGCAACACTGAAACACTTAAATCAGAAATCACTTTTCGTGTTTTCTGATCATGTGTTTCATTCAGTGTTAGGGAACAACTAAACTTCATTTTCAGTAGCATCACAGTATCTCAGTGTGGCAGAGAAATATGGCTCAGCTTAAATCATAAACCCAAATCATTGGATAGTATGTAAAAAAATATATTTCCCCTTAAACATATTCAGCGTGGTTGGGTACTTTTTTGTTAGTAGTGTGTGGTGTTTGCTGCTTGTTGCATAAAAATGTTGCTACAACTTAAAAGTGAAGTCAGTGCAATAACCGGACAGCCTCAAATCCAGCAGACTGTACTTTTATTAAAATCCCCAGGACGAAACCATCAATTATTGACATAAGGTTTAATATAGAACGTTTTAGACCATTAGTGTTTAAGGCTTTAAGGCAGCCTCAATGGAAGAGCTTTGAAAATAAGTCATTTTCTAAGAATAGCTCAAGCAACATTTTCCTGTTGATTAAATAAGTTTAAATGCACTGTTTGAAATTGTACCTCTGAATATTTTAGAAGGACTCTACTATTACAGCACCATTAATGTGTCTGCACACTTTTTTTGTAATGAAATAAGGTATTTTCAGCTGTGACTTTGCGATTCTTTTATAGAGCCATGTAAGATATTTTATATAACGTTGCCTTACAAGGACAAAAATCTGTAAATAATAAAAGAGAAGGATGGGGACAGCAAACTAATGATTCTCTATAGCTGTAAATCAGCACAAACCAGACAATAAAAATGTTGTCTGAACTAGTTTCTAAGCATAAGAGAACCAAAAGATTCATATTTTTTTCCTATTTTGTGTGAAGATAAGTGAGATGTTTTTCTGAAAAGTCTAAAGAGTCACCGTCACTATGCTAGTGTGTTATGGGTGGCTGCCAGGGCATAGTTATGTGGTTACTAAGGTATTCTGAGTGTTTTCTACAATGGTGCAATGTGGTTGCTAAGGTTAGTGCTAGGTGGTTGATTACTGGCCCAAGTTAAAAGAAAAGTCCCACATCACTACGATATTCTGGTCTCTGATTTGGCTCACATCCCTCCTCCAATGCAAGTCGATGGGATTTTTCACTGCTTTAACATTACCCAAGCCAAAATTCTAAGTTTTTGTCTATATTTACACTTGTGAAAAAATCATTTTAGCCTACTTTTAAAAAGAGTACTTCTTGCAGAAATGAAAAGAATATACAAATTGGATGTCTGAACTTTGAAAGAGCAAACTGAATATTAGTCAACACATCAAAATAAGCGTGCATCTTTAAAGCATGACAAAAGATTATTAACAGATTATTATCTTAAATGGACATTAAAGCGTTTAATTTGGTGTTATTTCAATGTGCACTTTTTAAAAGTATACTTACAATGTTATAAAACATAGTCATGAAAGTGTACTCTCTTAAGTTAAGTCACTTAAGTGACCCTTTATTTCATAAATATCATACTATCAGTAAGTAGAGCTCTTTTTTTTCTTCTTAAAATTCTTTCAAGATTTGAATAACGGTACACTACAGGTGCACATTCAATGCAATTAAACGCACTTCTTTTTTCACAAAGACATGCATTTTACCTATACATCTTATGCTACCATGGTTTATTTGAGAATTTCTCAAAAACACTCCAAAGTTTAATCACCACATTGATGCCAGTTCAGGAAAGTTGTCAGATTCTCATCCATTTTGCAGAAGTTTCTTTTTGTGCAAAGAAGAATGAGGCATCTGTTTATTATCATAACAGACGTTCTTTAAACTTTCAAACAGTCACCACATTTACTTCTAAGATACTTAGAACTGCATTAAACCCTTTTCAAATATCAGAGTCTAATTCTAAAACACAGCTTGCTTATTTCCAGTGCTCATAAACACACACGCACACACACAGTGATATCGGGGAAAACAGGCAGAGGACCAAAGCAGGCTACCACAGCTTGAGACAGATGTCCCTAGGGATACAAGATAGAGACGAGCTGAAAAGAAGAAGAAGAAAAAAAGAGCTCCTACAGTGGAACATGTGCTCCAGATGCTTGTGCTACTCCACCAAGAATCCAGCTTAATGTAGGGCCTTTTCCTGGCCCCTCCCTAGAGAGAAATTCTGTCTAACCACCAATGGCCCTCTCCAGATGCTTGGAAGAGAACAGTGTGAGCACAATGGGTGCCAGAGAGACGATGGGGAAACATACTTGAAAGAAAAACATCTTTGGGGGGATTTAGTGTAAGAAGGATGGGGTACTCAAATGCAAGGAGGGCATAATGATATTGCACAAATACGGTGCAACCATCTCCAGTCATGGGTGAGGATAAACAGGAAGTGCAGATGAATATTCATAGGTAATTATTTGGATGAATGGATAAATGAGGAGGTGGGTGTTTGGATGGATGAATGCAAGGACAGACGGACTCACCGGGTCTTCCTTTCCGGTCCAGAGTGGCCTTGCTGGCGTTCACAGAGCAATAGAGAAATCCATCCATAAAAGA